TTGCTATCAGCTGCAACAGGGAGACGTGCAGCTTTCTCAGTGACAGGCTGGAAAGCCATTTTGCCACAAGCTTTTCTTCCCCTTCAGTGCAAGAAAGATGACCATTTAAGTATGAAGAAGCTTGACCTTTTGACACCTGTCAAGAACCTTAATGGTCACTTAATACATCAGTTTTCAGTGCAGCGTCTGCCGCCTTCTGCTGAGTTGGAATTGCTTCCAGCACAGGTCATGGCAAGTCACCTTAATACAGGTACTTTCTAGGTATGTGTTTTGCTTAAGGGCCTTGCACTGCTTGCCACTCATTACTGAAGCACTGCGCTCAGCAACACTGAAAGTGGTCCAGGTAGCTGCACCAAAAAACATGTCTGAGGGCTGACATGTCACGCCCTTCCTTCATGACAAGATGTTCTCCAGATCTGCCAACACATCTCACTTCAGGATCTTTCTGCGCTAGTTCCTCTGTTATTCATCAGACTGCTTCTCTGTCCTCATATCTTTAATTTGACAAACTCTCTTGTAGAAACCCCTAATGTCTACGCTCTCTACTCCCTTGGGTTTTTTATGCTTGCTTCCATAGACAATTAGCAGATGATCCCTGTCCTCCAGACTTGGTAATCTCTCTCTTCCTACTATCAATGTTACTGTATGGTCATAGACTCGCACAGTACCTTTCCCTAGTCCCAGAATCGTGCAGTGTCTCTTCCACCTGACACCTGCAAGAACTGAACTACATGAAGAAGTGTTTGGGACACACAACACTGCATAAACTTGGCCAGAATTGCAAGGCTCTTCATGCTACCTCTTCATGCTGTGTCTGGAGCCTGGATTACCCCAAGACTTGCATAAAAGGGCAAATAAGTGGACTTCATAGAGGAAGAAGAGGTTGGGTGAAGAAATGGATATATCTCAGACTGGTGGACATTCACTGACTGACCGCGTTTACTCTGGAGATCACATAAGCAAAATAGGCTGCAAGAGCACACAAATCATAAAGAGAAGTCAATGACTTTCAGTTCTGCATTTAAACATCAACCTTTTTGCTAATGTAGCCACAAGACTTTATATATAAACATTGTAAGTTAGAGAGGCAGGTGATGGTGGGCACCTATATGTCTTCTGGTAAAACATCAGACAGAACTGTAATATATTTTTGGATTAGTAACTTAGAGCATGTCCTATAGCACCACCTAGCAGGCTAATTTAAAAGCGGTCTGTATCCCTTCACGCCTGACTGTAACGATGTGCATATGAACCAGAAGTAGGGTGCACTTCAGTCTTCTTTCCCCTTCCTTGGTGTAACAGCTGCTTCTTGAAATCAGCATCATGCCAACATGGTGATTAGTAAAGCTGGGGTCTCTACTTTGCACAATCATATTTATTATAAAGGTCTTGAAAGAAACCTTAGTGCAAATGCAGTGCTGTGCCAGCCTCTTCAGTTTCTAGACATCTCCAGCCGGTACAGAAGACAGAAGCACCTTTCAGAATGTCAGGCCGTGCAGACCCACCCAATGCTCCCTCCATATTCACCAGCAGGGTAAGTCCCAGTGACTCTCAGGCTTTCAAAATCCATCATCACACTGCATGTTTCGGTTAGTGAGGAGTCTGGTCTCCAGTTGCCCATCGTCACCTGCATGCACCTTTTCTTTGTACATCCGTACGAAGTACGAATGCCAATGCCACATTACAATTGATAAGTTTTGGCAGGTGATGAAGCTACACGCCGAGGCTGCAGACCCGTGGCTGTAACAGCTCTCTGCTGATATACGGGAGGAGGTGAAGCTCTCCTCTCCCCTCTCCTTTTTTTCTGGCTGCTTCCCACCTTGTTACAGCCCTGGCACTTTTCAGACTTTTCCATTATCCCTTTCAGCTTGCTAATCTGGTAGAAAATGATCCTTTTTTTTTCCCTGTTACTATGTTTTCTTCTGGTAGTGAGTTAAAAGCAGTGCACACGAGGGTCTGCTTGATGCCAGGTCTGGCAAAAAGACAGAGAGGTGGGATCTTTCCTGATTTCACCCTTTGGCCAGCAGCAAACCGTTCATCTGCCTTGCCATATTGCATAAAACCATAACCTAAAGCTAGAACTGTGCCCTCTCATGAAGTGGTTTGTTTTCTTAGCAATTAGCAACTTGTTTATTGGAAGTTAAAACCAAGGCTGTCATTAACAGCCTCTGTTCACAACAGGGAGGGATACTGGGTATGCCTAGCCAGGCCTGTTTAGCACTAGCGTTTCTAAAATGCAGGAGATCACCCAGTAGGAAGAAGATAGGGTAAATGTCTTCATTAGGATGCTTTCATTTAAGTCCTGGAGGAAGACCTGAATTTGAATGAAAACTCCTAAGTATTCAATTTATAATCTTAATCCTTTTACGTAAAAGCAAATCTCAGGCCAGAAGGTCTAGGAACTGAACCTTTACTTGTAAGAGATGCCTGAATCAGGGGCTGCTACAATGAAAGAAAGAAAGATCTCTTGAAATTAATCTAAGTAGGTAATACCCATGGCTTGCTTTTATTTCCATTCTGCTGTCTCTCAAGCCACCGCAAAGTGTTGTTTCCATTTGGACTGTGAAAACTGGTTACCTCATGACTGCCTGGTGTGAAGGCACATTTTAAAACGACCATCGGGCACCAATGCATGCCTTTCCTAGAGAGGAGGCAAAACCAATCTTCTACTATCTGCTACCCAAACAAAACCTTAAGCTGGCCAAAAGCTATTCCCTGTCCTCGTTTTGCAAGGCCAGACTTAACAGAGCTGTGCCCTGAGGGGCCAGCGCTCGCCGAAGGGTGCTGCTCCATCACCCACGGGCAGACCTTTCCAGGGCTTCCTCGGAGCACCCAGCTTGCGGAACAAATCCACGTACGATTGTTGAGAAACTACGCCGGCCATCTCCTGCTTTGAGCAAACCGCCACGTTAAAGCAAATTAAAAAAAAAATAAAAAATATCCCTGCACGTGTTATTTTCCTATTATGGACGACGGAGAAAACAAATCCTGTGTGACGGATGCTGGTTATGCCACTTATTGCCTTGTTCCCAGGGAGCGTTCCAGCGCTGCAGCGGGCGGGCTGCGTCCACAGCACACACGCCAGGTATTTTGCAGGAACAAGGCGGGGAGTTAGGGACGGGACACACGGCCGCGGGACGCACGGGCGATTCCGGGAGAGAGGCGGGCCCGTCCGCAGGCC